AAGAGGAACGCCAGAATTCATTTTTTAGAAAATGCATTTTTTGATAAATCGGATTGCTTGGCATAGTCTGATTTTCCATCATACAGCTTGTGTCGCATTGCCTGATGGCGATCATAGTATTCTTTTCGTTTTCTGGACAGTTTGCAGTACTACCGCCGACAGGAGCACTTAGGGAGGCTGTAGCTATCTCAAGATCTCTTAATAACGTATTTCGAGTATCACTGCCTAATCTTGAAAGTTATCACTTCTAAACTACAATGTTGTACTTTACCGGCTGGAAAGCTTTTTGAGGTTTTTTTCATAATTTAATCGATTTGTTAATTAATATTCGGCAGTGCACCTAAACCAGTTTTATTATGAATTATTTTATTTAATAAACAGCGGCGCGCACCACGAAAACCAGTGCAACAATGCGTTTTGCGCACTTCCGTCCAGCGAACGTTTGCCTACTAAGAATTTCCACTGCTTTGCGCTTTGGCCTGTGCAATAATGAAATGTTGCCTAGTCCCTGGTTCTTAATTTGCGAAATTTCCCACTAAAGACCTTGTACAGTGAGCATCCTTCCCAAAATCAACCTCCTAATTTTCTGGCTTTTGAGTGATTTTCGCGCCAAAACTTTTACCGGTCGTGCATGAGACCCCTGCATACTGGGAACTGAATTTGAGTTTATGTAACCTTTACATAGGTAGAAAACACTTGCTTGAAATTCTCAGCCTTCTATCTCTTCTGGCTTCTAGTAATAATCTTCCGGAAGACCCAGACGTGCAAATTTGAATTTACGGGGTCGCACGTGGGCAGGGGACAATAACGTAAAATTTCAGGTCCCCGGCTTTCGTGGTTCCCAAGATAGTTTTTCTCGCCGAAACTTCCACAGGTTCATACATGGTATCCAGACCTAGGAGGAAGCTGAATTTAAAGTTGCGGAATTGTACTTGAAAAGGGGAAATGGCCGTAAAATTTTAATTTTTTTTGTGGTTCACGAGGCAATAATTTCCCCCTCCAAAACTTTTATGAGGCCATATATGATGCCTGAGGGCGCGGGAAGACTGGATTTAAGTTTGTAAGTGGTTGTATTTGAGCAGGAGATATTGCTACAAAATTTTAACTTCTGAGCTTTCATAGCTCCCGAAATGATATTTTCTGCAAAAAAATTTCCACAGTGCGATAAGTGACGCCCGGGTGCACGGGGAGGCTGAATTTAAATTGACGACGTCGTACGTGAGCAGAACTCATTGCCGTAAAACTTCAGCTTCCTAGCTTTCATAATTCCCGAGATAACAACTTTGCCTGCCAAAACTTTGACGGGGTAGTGCGTGGTACCCCGGGAGCCGGGCAAGGTTGAAATTAAATTTGTGCAATTCACGTGGACGAGGAATATTCCTTTCAACTTCTTAGCTTTTGTGGTTTCCGAGTTGAATGTTGCGGACAAGATACATCGGACACACACACACCACACATACACACAGATAACGCCGTGACAATATGCGTTTTGTGCAGCTGTTGCACAACACAAAACGCAAAATAATTATACCATTAGGGTCTTTTTTAAAAGAAAATTCGTGCGTTATTTTGCAGATTATCTTCAAAATGGATCCAACAGGCTCATGTGTTATTTTCGAGAAAGCTTTACTGCCAAAGTGTTTGTGCAGAGCGTTAGCAGAAAATTTCGATTTTGAGAAGTTCCGTAGAATTTGTATCCTAGCCGGATGCGATTACTTGCAGGTAATGACTTTTTTTTCAGCATCTGTCTCCCTTTTTTGCACTGTGTTTGAGCATGATACTGATTGTATGCATTTTCAGGCTGGTCTTCCAGGAGTTGGTTTAGTTAAAGCAGCAACTTTTTTTGCGAAAACCAATGGCAAGAATTTGTACCAGGTGAATTTTCTGCTAATTTCACTTTCATCGGTTTATCAGCTATAAACGGAGGCATGGAATCTGAAAAGGATGACTTATTAGATGGTGGGGGACAGTATATTGGATTGCTGCCTGCGCTGATTTCAACATGGCCTGGCATTGTCGAGTGTGATTTTCATTCCTCGACCTATCAACCTTGCTTTTACTGCACAGGTATTTCAGGTACTGCCTCGCCTTCCTCGATACCTCAATATGAATTCACTGAAAATCACGAAACAGTTTATTTCTGACTTTATTCGTGCCGAGAACACATTCCTTTATCAAGTGGTTTTCGATCCTATTGAAAGGAAGCAGCGCCCACTGCACGATTATCCACTCAGCCAGCGTTCCAACGAAAATGATTCTGACGTAATTATTACAATTCATTGCATGGGTGCTTCCAGTGGAAGGCCTTTTTCCTAAGAAGGTGCTGAAAACCATGCGAATGCATAAAATTTTCGATAAATTGATTCAGTGGCCGCTAAATCTGGCTACACTGAGACATATGTTAACAGCTAGTGGCATCGATCTAAGTTGGATGTTGTATTGTTGCACTAGTTAGCAAGTGTAGTCTGGAAGTGCTAAAAATGTGGCGGTGAAAAGCAACTTAGGGCGGGATGCAGCTATTTTTCTTTTGGGAGTGAAAATTTGAGCTGCTTACTATTTACTAATTTTGTCACACGTTGTTTCAAACAGAGAGGGGAAGGGGGGAAAGGGAGGAAAGCTAATTTTCAGTAATTTTTGATTGGCTTTTATGGGTTTTTGCCTTGGAGCGCTAGAGCACTGCAACAGGCAGCAGAAAAGCATATTGCGAAGAACCAGACTGCGTGTATGTGTGCTCGTCTGTTCGGGTGTTTGTATTCAACAACCACGCAAGCTTTGGAGCTGAAATTCGCTAATTTGTTCCTTAGCCAGGTTTAACAATAGGGGTATGATATCAGATGTCACGCACATCTTTGTCTCACACAGGACACGCGGAATTTTGGCGGGATCTCCCTTTCCTATCTCCCTTTTCTTTAATACGCTACTTGAAAGGCGACTAACGCAATTATTAAGCGAATTTAAACTGAATTTAACACAGTGCGCCGCCTGGGCCTCACAAACCAAAGCTTTCAATTTCATCATGAAACATTCCTTATGTTTTTAAAACAGGATCAATCAACGCCATAGTTTTTGCTGGATTTCTACAAATCCGTTAAAAGGATTTGAGCCAATATTAAAGTTGTGTCTTTTTGAAAAATCGTTTTTTCCTCAATTTGTTGAACAACAAAATGTAATAATTTTAAGACGTGTTGTTCGTGTATTTTAGTTCCATTCGATTAACAGTCAGGAGAGTGATTGCGATTTTTCATACGCCGGTGAAATTCAACCGCCTGAGCTCGCCCTAAGGTTTTTCTTTTCACGTTTTAGATTGTCATTTTATTTCACTAGATTCATCAGCGTAATTATTATTTTCAGTCATGCGCTGGGAAATTTGCCGGGCAGTTCGCAGACTGAAAAAATACGTCTGCCTGAGAGCGTGCCTGACTGGTCGATTTGGAATCGCAACTACAAATGTGGCAAAGTGTTGCAGAAAAAGGAACTTGCGAAGGAGGAACCTTTGGAAAGACCTTGCGGTGCATTTACGGTTAGTTGATGTTGTACTTTCCATGTTATCTAGCAAAACTTCGAAATTTTAAGGTACTTTGATGGATCATTTAGCCGTGGTGGCTTTTTGGACCTGCAAAACCAATACAGAAACTTACAAAATAAATGTCGAAATATTGCTCTTGCTTCAGCACAGTAATGTTTTAACATTTGTTTTGTCGGTATTTGAACTTTTTTTTATCTAATTCTTTTCAAAAAAAGGGCACTTATCCTCTTTCGCTACACCCCACGCTGAATTAAAGGGTCTGCAGGAATAAATTAGTGGGCTCCTGATGCCTTGTTTTTATATTATAGCATCATAGAAACGAGTGCATTTTTGGCACATTTTTCCAAAAAACTTACACGATTTTGCTTCATTATTTCATTTAGTTGACGCTC